AGCCCGCGCGCGTGCCGGCAGGCGGTCGCCGTGCACGGCGACCGCCTGCCTCGAGCGCCGGCGGGAAGAGCTGCCACGGCGACCGGCGCGCGGGGTACCGGCGCCGCTCGGCGGCCTCCGCGTCGGCGTTCACGGCCCCGGACCACCTCGCCCGCAGCACCTCGGAGCCCAGAGATGCTAGGATGTCTCGGGCGAGACGCGCCAGAACAGCTCGCGCACATTTTCTGAGAGCCTAGATCTGCGGGGATGTTTCAGGCGCAACGGGCTGGACCACCTCGCGCACATCTTCAAGCAGCCCGGAGTAGCGAGGATGTCAGGCGAAACGGGCTGGACCACCTCGCGTGCGAAATCTGGAATCTCAGAGTTGCGAGGATGTTCCAGGCGGCGCCCAGACCTCTCCCAGAGCACAATTCGGCAACATATGTGTAATCAAATGCTTCTTTTGCGTCTGACCCCTCCTCTTTCCTTTCTCCTGCCTCTCGGAGCCCAGAGCTTCGAGGATGTCTCAGGCGAAGCGGGCCAGACCACCTCGCCCGCAGCATCTCAGAGCCCAGAGATGCGAGGATGTCTCAAGCGAAACTGGCCGGCCACACACCCTTGCGCACGTTTTCTCAGAGCTCAGAATTGCAAGGATGTCTCAGGCGAAACGAGCTGGACCACCTCTCGCGCAGCATCTCGGAGCTGAGGGGTGCGAGGATATCTCAAGCGAAAGGCGCCAGACAACTTCTCGCGCGGCAGCTCGGAGCTCAGGGTTGCGAGGATGTCTCAAGCGAAACGCGCCAGGCCACCTCGCGCGCGGCGTCTCGGAGCTCAGAATTGGGGGGATGTCTCAGGCGAAACGCGCCGGACTCGCGCGCGGCAGCTTAGGGCGCAGAGTTGTGAGGATATCTCAGGCGAAATGCGCCAGACCACCTCGCGCGCGGCGTCTCGGAGCTCAGAATTGGGAGGATGTCTCAGGCGACACGCGCCAGACTGAGGATGTCTCAGGCGAAACGCAACGCGCCGGCTCTCACACGGCATCTCCAGGCTTAGAATTTCGAGGATGTCTCAGGCGAAACGGCCTGGACCACCTCGCGCGCGGCGTCCCCGAGCCGAGATTCCAGAGGATGTCTCAGGCGAAACGGCCAACCCTGGACAATTCAGAGACGACAGTTGAGAGGATGTCTCAGGCGAAACGGCCTGGACCAAATTTTTTGAAGATGTCTCTGCTCCCGTTTCCCTCGGCCGCAGTTAGCTTCTATCACAACAGCACCCCGTTCAGAAAGCTGTTTGGGGAATTATGCTAGTTGCAGTGCCAGCCTTTGCTGACAGGCCCTCAGCTTCATCAGCGTCGCAATCCAAACCTCATTCACCCTCATGCCTCCTCCCTCTCTTCTCCTCCTCTCTCCCGAGTGGATGGGGACGGGGGATTGCGCCGCACCGCCAGTGCACCGCCGATGCATCGGCGATGTGGCGCGATCCTTCGACTCCCCTGCTCCGACCCCATCTGGGAGGCCTGGACTCCCCCCTCCTCCCTCCCTCCCCCCTCCCTCCTCCCTCCCCCCTCCCTCCTCCCTTCTCCTCTCCTCCCTCCTCCCTCCCTCCCTCCTCCTTCCACCTTGCCGTGTCCCGCAGCCGCAGACCGCGGTCTCCGCTACCAGCCCCGGCGCGGCAGAGGAGGCGGGGCGGGGCCGCACTCAGGCTATCCGGGGGGGGGTCTTTGATACCCTTCCCCCACCATGTTGCAACTAGTTACTGGGACTGGGGTCCCACCAACAGGGGGTAACTCGTCATCGTTTTCCACGGCACTGCATACCTCCTCCTGTTGAGACGGAGCCAAGACGAGGACAAATTCGGGTGAGGATGAACCGAGAATCTCTGAGATCCGGCGGCTCTGAAAGATGTCTCGGGCGCTGCGGCCTTCTCAGAGCGTTCCCGACCGCTCTGAGAGCGTTCCGGAACGCTCTGGGACGGATTTATCCTCGTCCTAGCCCCGCCCGAATAAACCAACCTTTTCGCTTTGTGCAGCCCCACGTATGACCGCTCCTGTCCCTCAGACCTGCACAACCGAAAAGTTCAGGATATCCGAGGGGGGCGGGTGGGTCCAATCACCCTGGCTCATCGCCAGACCCGTAACAAAAACAGTCTCTTCCCGATGATGCTACATCTTCGCAGGCGCCGTCTGGGAATCAGTCAGACTTATAGGCATTCCCAGACGGCGCTGGCGCGAATCGTGACGTGACCAGTCCCCTCCCCCTTCCACCCCCAATTGGTCACGCCCGCCAACGCCAAGAGATTACAACGGCATCCTGGCTTCAAGATGCTTTCGGACGTCCGTCTGGTTCGTTCGGGGCTCTCGAGTGCTTTCGTCGGCTCCTGGTGACGTTGCACGCTCGGGGTGCCTGCAGGCCCTGCCCAAACGCGGTACGGTACACAGTGCTTCGGCTCCGAAGGCCAGAACACGATTCACAGTGCCATGCCAGGTCGAAGATCGACGACGCCTCGGACTCCTCGTCCCATCCCGCCAGCTGTTCGTGTGAATCCGCGTACGGTCCACGTCGAGCAAATCGGATGTGCGTCGGATAGGCGTGAGATCCGCGTCGGTTCCGTGTTGAATCCGCGTGGGACCCGCGTCGGGTAGAACAGACGACCGCAATCGGCAAGACAGACCAGGTCCCCCGAAGCTGCAGCGTGACCGCCAATTCTCTCGCCTTGGGGATGCTCGCCAGCAGCTGCGCCTCGCCGAGAGCCTCCTGGGGGCGCCCAAACAGTCCCGACTGGCCGTCAGGAGGCAGATGTTTCGCCCGAGACCCATCCGAACCAAGACGATCCACGTCTTGCAAACGTTCGGGGAGGCGAAGGACTCGGGTGCGGGGGACTCGGGTGGGCCTGGCGGGGGCCATCATGAAAATGACGAGGCCCAACCCGAAATTCGGCGCGGGCTCCCGCTGCAGACATCCCACGAAAACGGGACCGTCAAAATCTGGAACGCGCTCGTCAAAAACAATTTTCGGCAGACCCGAGTCCCAGCTTACTCGAGTCTTACGTTTCCCTGGAACATCAATAGGGAGCCCACAAAGGACGTACGCGCCCAGCTATGTACATGAACACGGCCCCTCGATTCGCGAGACCGGCCGCGTTATACGAACATTTGTGCAATGCGTGCTCTCGAAACCAGCGTGGATTCATGTACATGTACGTCCTTCTTTCGCTCCTGAATCAAGGCGGAGGTTTTCCGCCGCTCTCGGCTTCGGGCCGGCAGCTCGGGATGGAAAGCCGGCCCTTGAGAAAGCGCCGGGACTTCCGGGGGCCTCGTCTCAAACAACATCGGATACAGTTTTCGCATGGTTGGAAGTTTTCGCATGGTTGAAATAGGGGACCTGGGATGAAGTTTTCCGCATGGATGAAGTTTTCGCATGGTTGGAAGTTCCGCATGGATGAAGTTTTCCGCATGGTTGGAAGTTCCGCATGGTTTTCGCATGGTTGGAAGTTTTCGCATGGATGAAGTTTTCCGCATGGGACCTGGGCCAGAAGAATATCTTTCAAGAACGTGAGACCCTCCGCCGGCCAAAACACACAGAACAGCCAAGGGTAACCTCCCAAGGATGCACAAACAAATCCAACGAGCACGAAGAACATGAGGGCACCCTCCCCGAGCCGACCTCGATCTTATACCTCGGTCCGACTGTATCTGGGTCGCTGCGGGGGTCCTCCTCCTCGATCCTCCTCGCCGTTGCTCTCCTCGTGCTCTGGGCTTCGGGCCCCCCCCCGTTGGTTGGATGCTCTGGAGAGAGGTGCCAAGAAGAGCGAGGTCTAGCGCATCATGGTCCGAGGAGCGAGCGCTGACGAACGAGGGGGGGCAGGGAGCAGATCGAAAGCTGACACGGATGCTAAGACAAACAAGGGGAACACGCACCATAACTGAAAAGACGAGGAAACAAAAAAAAACATAACAACACGAACAGCAGCCCAAAAACTAGCAGTACTACTTATAACATCACTGCGTATGATGATATGATGCGTACAAAGGATGACACGAAGGAGGGGCCATGCGAACAGGAAGATCTCATGACCCTGGCCATCAGATCCACTCTCCTAATCCTCACCCCCTACGAGCGCGTTTTTTTCCGATCCGCGATAAAGGCCGCTACCGGGGGTGCTCCCCCCTCCCCACCACCCGGTAACGTCACGGTTGGCGCCGGCGCCGTTTGGACATTGCTAGGGGCAGCTAACTCCCAGACGGTGCCAGCGTGAATCGCGACGTTACCAATCCCCTCGCCCCCCCCCTTTGCCCCGCGCAGCGGCCGTTCCGTTACGGTGTTACCAGTGAGAATCACGTATGTTCCAATACATTGAAACAAATAAGTAAGCCTTAAATAAGGAATCCACGGTCTGGAAGCCGGTGAAAATGCGACCGTGGATCGGCCATGCATAACACTGCCGCCCTCATCAGATAAGGACCCCCCCCAGGGTCTGAAGCCTCCTGGGCCCGTTCCTTAGCGAACGCCCCCACAGTATCGCCAGGCGACAAGGAAAAAAACACTGGACCCTCTCGGGCTCCAAGGATTTCGCCTGGGAGGAACGAGTCCTGCGGGCAATGGGTGCTGCACCCTAAAAGCCTTCCCGCAGGACGAGAGCGTCGCGTCCCGAGGCGTTTCTCAGACCACCCCGGGGCCCGTGGCAGGCCCCGCGGGCGCGAGCACGGCGGACAGAAACCGCAGGACCCACCTCTGCCCTGGGGACCGGAAGGGGCCCTGGGACACAACATAGATATACACACAAAGAGCAGGATTCCCAATATCTCTTCCCATGTTTTTAGGGGGGTTTTGTCTTCCCCCCCTTCCCACATTTTCCCAGATTTTCTGGGAATCGACGATTAATAGTGTCTGTGTGTTTTTACCCCTCCTGAGAACCGCCGATCATCTGGGTCTGCGTGTCTTTTGCCCCCCCCCCCCCCCCCCCCCCCCCCCTGGGTTCCCACCCTCCCCCCGCTGGCCCCCCCTCTCGGGGGGGGGGGGAAGGATGGCTGACGCACGGGGCGTCCTCGGCAGCTCCGAGTCGGCCTGGCCCCTCGCTCCTCGGCCAGCAGGCAGGCAGCGGGGGCCGGGGGCACCAGCAAGACGAAGCCAGGACGAGGACAACCGCGGGAGAGAAAACACGAGAATCTCCGTGATCCAGCGGCTCTGGAGGATGTATCGGGCTCCGCTCTGGAACGGCTTTATCCTCGTCCTGGCCCCGTTCGAACCAGGCGGGCCGCGCCAAAACACGCCGGCCTCGCGTATCCAGCAGAGCGTTGAAACGGAGGCAGCTGGCGACAACCGTCAGGTCGTGCGGAAGATGCGAGAAGGAGAGAGAGACATATAGAGAGAGAGGGAGAGAGACAGACAGACAGACAGAGAGAGAGAGAGAGACAGAGAGAGAGAGTGAGAGAGAGAGAGGGAGAGAGACAGCGCAAGAAAGAGAGAGAGAATTCGACGGAGAAAAGGATATCATATTCCTCACAAAAGCTGAATTCGCAAACTGTCCTGGTGGTGCGAATTACTGCTCGCGGTCCGCCCCAACCTCCCCAGACATGCAATGCCTTGTTTTTTTCGATACGCGGTGACAAGAAGTCTTCGACTCTTTCCCCCAGGACTGGTTTTTCATGCCGAGTCGTTTTGTGACGGTCCCAGGGCCTGGCAAGGGCCCTCGGACGCGGCCGAACACTTCCCGTCGCGCTTCTGTCTCACGACGCGAGCATGTCTGGGGAGAGAAGAGAGTCCTCGACAGGGCTCACTCCGTACACTGGCCCGGTGGAGCTCCTTCCTGCTCCTGGTCCGCTCTCCAGCCTCTTAAGCCGTCGCGACCCGAGAAGCTGGCTCCGAGCGGGCCGCGACCAGAAGACGTGAAGCCTGCAACCGCGTGCAACCGATATTTAAGAGGCCCCGGGACACACACACATGAATCCACACAAATCACAGGATGCCCCATGCTCTCCCATACCTTCTGGGATTTTGTCTTCCCCCCACCTCCCATCTGTTCCCATATTTTGTCTGGGAATTCGAGGATGCACCGTGTCTGTGTGTGTGTTTTTCTCCCCTCCCGACGACGCTGGGACTTGGAGGCGGCCGGGGGGTTGCGCTGGATGTGCCCTGGGAATTTGGACGCCCGGAATGGGCACGGGAACAGTGGGCACAATGCCCAACAGCAAATGTTTACCAGCCTCGAACGTATCCCTATCCCTAAGATTGACACGCCAAAAGGCGATGACAATCTTAGGGATTCGCCCTCAAAAAGTAAGGGAATCCCTAAGATTGGCATCGTGATGAGGAGGTGCCCAGCATAGGGATAGGGATATGTTCCAGGCTGGTAACATGTTTTCCCGAACCAACAGCGGCCGCTGTTTGGCGGGCGGCCTTCTGCCTCGAATGGACGCAATCCGCGGCGACGCCGACGGCGAATCCTGTTCAGAAGGAACAAGAACTGCTGTCGGTCTTTGCACCCATTCTTTCCGTACCCATGTCGGTCGTCCCGAGGGGAAGTCGGTCCACCCAGACGTGCTCGCGCCGTGGAGGCTCACGGCGCGAGGCCTTTGGCCGTCTTCGGCCCCTGGGGGCCCTCGCCGGGCCACGGGGCCGTCGAAGTGCGCGACCCGGGATGCGCCTGGGACCGCGCACGGAACAGCCTACAGTCGGGCTTGATTAGAGAGGACACGCGAGAGGACGCAGGACCCTTTCGAGGGCCACATCGCCACAGGAATGTACGAAGCATGGGTCGCGAGACACAGGACACAAGGGTACCCTTGATCTGGCAGGGTCGACCTACTAATCCGGGCCGCCTGCAAGATGGGGTCGAACCTGACGAGTTTTTCGAGCCGCGCCCCGCCGCGGCGACGTGGGGGGGCCCCCTTCTGCTGGCCGGAGCCAGTGCTGGGCCACCTCAGCTCCCCAGACGGCTCCAAAGCTGGTGGGGGGTGGTGCTAATATCATTTGGTCGGGCATGTCCTCCTACAGCTGGATCTTGGGCGAAAAATGGAGCATTATCAGCACATGCTCAACAATATTCAGCGACAGTCAAGAAACGTCCCCGACAATGTTTTGGACTACATTTGAATACTCCCCCTGTAGAGGGCCAGGCCCGACTGCACAGTGGCACACCTCTGCCGCTCGTGCAGAGGGGGGGCGCTGACCGCCGAGCCCCGCGGGCGCCCTGCCCCGTGCGCGACAAGGCGAGGCCGAGCGCGCCGTGGAGCCCCCACGGAGCGCCCCAACTCGGGCTCCGCGCGGCGCGACGCGCGAATCACTGCGTGCCCTCGCGACGCCCCCAGACAGAAGAGGAGGAATAGACCCTGGGCCTCTTCGTAAGCGTGCCAGCGCGAGGGAGAGCGGCCTTCGGTCCACCCCAGACACGCCTTCACGCCGCAGCGCGGCAGATAGGGGGCCACATGCGAACCCGACCCCTGCCCCCCACGATTTCTGAGGGGGAGGGTGGCGTTCACTCCGTTCGGGAGCTCCCGAGCGAAGTGAACCCCACCCTCACCTTCAGAAATCGTGGGGGGCAGGGGTAGGGTTCGCATGTGGCCCCCTGGGGGCCTCGCCTCGTCGTCGCGCCGCGACGGGGGCCGGAGCGCCTTCGGCGCGCGGTGGCTGCCCACGACGGGGGTCGATGGGGGGGCGGTGACGCCCCCCCGGCGCGTGTTGGGAAACTCGGAATACGGGGGAGGCAGCATCGAACCGCGAGCCACGCGGCGCGGACAGCTCTTCGAGCCCTCGTGGGGCGCCCCTCGCACCAGCGAGGCGGGCAGGTCGGGGGAACGCCCGGAGAGCTTCCTGGCAGCGGCGCTGGCAGCGCGAGGCCCGCACCCGGATGTGGCGCCTTGGCGCAGTCCAAACAAAGCCAGAGCGGGGGGGTCATCCTCGGCCTCTGGGAGCCCTCGCCAGGCCCCGGGACTGTTCAAAAACGGCTCGGGAGGAGAGACCGGTCCTGGGGCAAGGGTCGGGGCTTGCAGGGACCGCGCGCTGAACACATCAAGCCGACGGACGTCTGGGCCTGGAGCGAGCGGGCACAGGACACGCTTGGAGCGAGCTTCCTGGCAGCAGCGCTGGCATTGCGATGTGCGCCAGGGGGACACGGGGACGAGCCCACCAGTCACAGGGATAGTTTTTTTTTTCTGTTTCTAAAAAAAAAATCAAAAGCAGCGAGTCCCACACAGGAGCGGGGAGATCAGAACCGCCGCCCAACATCGTTTGGTTTGGCAGCCGCTTCGCCTGAGAATTCTTTACGATTTCTTCCAGGATCATGCTCTCGACTCAGTGCAGGCTACACATTGTGAGACAGAAAGGGTAGGGGCGGACAACATGCCTCATCAGCCACCGCCGTAACGAGAATGCCAGCTAGACCAGCAGCTGGGTTAAAGCACATCTTGATGAAATAGGATATTGAGGGCATGGATGAGGAGCATGAGGAGGAGGAGGAGGAGGAGGAGGAGGAGGAGGAGGAGAAGGAAGAGGAGGAGGAGGAGGAGGAAGAGGAGGAGGAGGAGGAGGAGGAGAAGGAGGAGGACCAGCAGTGAAGAGGGGAAGGAGAGGGGGAGGAGAGGCCTGCCGATCCCGGAGCGGATTCTCACTCGCGCTGGCGCGCCCGCATGGCTGCGCGGCCCCCTGCTTGCCACTTCTCAGGCGCTGCGCCGGCTCCGCGTGGACGGCGCTCATGGCCAACCGTGGGCGCCGACCAGCGGGGTCCTCCCTGGCTGCGCGCGGGCCGTCTTCGGGCTCATCGTATGGGTTCGGCCTCGGTGTCGACGCGCTGGCCGAGTGCGCGATGGTCTAAAGCGCCGCGCACGCGTTGGCGACCTCGCTCTATGGGCCCGCGGGGGCCCCGACGAAACCGCGGAAGCCGTCGCCGAAGATTCGCAGATCACCAGAGCCTACGAGGCAGACTTTGGCTAGCGGCCGCAACGAGGTGAAGAGCAAGCAATTTGTCACCTATGCCCTATGCGTCGGCGCGGCGGTGGCTCCACAACGATATGCCGCCAATCTCAAACGGTACCGAGACCCGCGACCTCGGAGTCGTCGCGGTCGCGGGGAGGCGGCGCAAGCGTCCCGTGCCATCCGCGCGGGCGCAGCTGCTTCGCAGCCGCTTTGCTCGGCTGCGCCGCCTGCCAGCGCCTAATTATCCGGCGGCGGTGCCTGATCGGGGCTGCCGCAAACGCGGCCGCTGGCACCTGCGGGCCAGCCCGCGGTCGCCCCGCCGCCGGGGACCTCGAGCAGTTCCGCGGGCTGCCAAAGGATCCACAGGCCATGGGCCACGCTCGGCGGCCGAGATCATGCTCGGCGTTCTCGGCCCCACTTGGCGCCTGGACCCGAAGGCGGCCGCGTCCGCGGCGCCTCTGCGGCAGGCTGCGCGAGCGCTCCGAGCAGGACAGCTCGACCTCGCCTCGTGGCGCAACATGGCGGCCGCAGTCAGCGCCGGGGCTGCGCGGGCCGCGGGGCCGGTGCCCGCCGCCCGGCGCAGCCTCCGCGAGCTCGGGCTGGGCGGCGACATGGAGCGCTGGGTCGGCGTGCCTGCGGCGCCGCACGGCTGACGCCCGGCTGAGCAGCCGAGGCGAGCCGCAGAGCGCGCGGTCATCGCGGCGCGGCGCTAGGCCGAGTGCCGCAGGGTGGCCGCGAGTCGGCCGTGCTTTTCCCACTTGGCCCACGGGGTGGACGGGTGGACCGCGCGACGCCTGCTCGCCGCCGAAGCGCTTGCGCCCGAGGCTGCCAGGGCACTGTGCGGCGAAGTGAAATGGCGACGCCGGCATGTGCCCGCGCTGCGGGCTGGCTGCTGAAGACCACGAGCATCGCTTTTGGCTGTGCCCAACGTGGGAGGGCCCGCGGCGCGCCACTCTTGCTGCGGCGCCGCGGTCGGGGGCGCTGCCGGGCGACGCTGGGGCCCTGATGCAGCTGCTTCCAGCTGGCGTCGATGACGGCGGTGTTAGCGATGCCGCCGCTCCTCGCTACCCTCGCGGAGGCCGCTGCGAGCGTAGACCCCCAGCTCCCGCCCCAGGCCGAGCAGCAGCCGGACGCTCCCCGCCGCACGGTGTCGAATGATGGCGCATGCCTCCGCCCCGTGGACCCGCTGCTTGCGCGAGCCGCATGGGGCTTGCGGGCCCTGGGTCTCGCAGCCCCCAACCTCGCCGGCCCTGTCGACGGGCCGCAGACCGCGAAGCGGGCCGAGGTCGCTGCCGCGGTGGCGGCGGCTCGTGTTGTCGGCGGCCCAATCGACCTCGCCTCGGACAGCCAGTGCGTCGCGCGGGCGTGCGCGCAGCTGGAGGCTGGCGCCGACACGCGGGACTGGGAGCACGCCGACCTGTGGCAGCTGCCCGCAAGTGCCGTGCGGAGCGGGCGTCTGCGGGCCCGCTGGGTGCCAGCGCACAGGACTCTGGCGGAGGCGCGGCGCCTGGGGGTGAGCGAGCGGCACCGCTTCGGCAATGCCGCGGCCGACGGCAACGCTGGCGCCGCGGCCGCGCAGCGTCTCGCCGCGCGAGGTCGTGCTCGCCCGCCGCAGGGAGCTCGAAGTGTTGGAAGCGGCGCAGCGGGTGTAGGCAGCTGCTCAGGCAGCGGCCCTGGCTGCTGCGAAAGTGCGTCAGCGCTACGGCCGGCGCATCTGGAGCGCGGTCCGCCGCGTGGCTCGGGCTCGCCCTGCGTCCGCCCTACACCAGCGGGCCGCGCGGCGCCGCTGGCTGCTCGGCCGCGCCGGCACGACGGCGACGAGCCCGTCAGCGCAGGGGCCACGCTCGCCGCCTTCTTCGCAGGGCGCTCGTGGTGGCCCCACTCTCATGTGGCAGAGTAGAAGAGACGATGCAAAAGAAGCAACAATGTGATAGTGCTGCAATTTTTCCTCGCCCCGTGTACTGAAGCTCTTTATCTCAAGTGCGTTCACCAACCCACACGTGTGTGTGCGCCCTCCTGTTAGGGCTTGAGCGCCGGCCTAAACCAGTGAACAGCACCTGAGCCTAGACACCAACGGAAAAGAACATGCTTAAACTGAATGCTACAAGTTAGAACCTGTCGTGACGGCTTCAGACCCCCTTCTGCATAGCACAAGCGGATGATACAAACTATGCCCAAATTTGTATCGTTGGCGTTGCTGTTGTTCCAACAACACAATGCTACATTCTGCTACCTGTCACGCGATGCGAAACTGTCATACATAATTGTCTAACAGACCCCTTTTGCGAAGAATGCAACGCAGACGGAGAAGAAGGAGAGAGGGCAGAAGGACGAGCGAGAGGGGAGAGATGAGCAAGCAAATCAAATGACATGGCATGTCAAAATCATATCGCCTGGCCTCACTCCCGGCTCTCATGCCCTCCACCTGCGATTCATCATCCGCCCGAGAATCATGAACAGAGGCCCCATCACCCACTCAGACCCGCGAGCATGAGTGCTCTTCCCGGTCGTAACCTCGAATGGGAAAGCCTCATCTGTAGAGAAATCTTCCATGGGAGGCGGGCCCGAACTCGCAGTTGGGCTCTTGCCAAACAGCAGAGAGAAGATATTGACGGTTCCGTGCAATACTTGCTGCCCTATGACCCAAAGCAGCGTTTTCCCAGCCGCGTGCAGAAATTGCTCAATGAAAGTACCCACGGCATATCGGACATCCTGGAGGAGCCCGCACACTTGAAGCGTGCACCACGCGATGACGATAAGCACAGCGACGCCGATCATCCACTGCACATGAACGAGAGCCGGTCGAGGGATTGGCCGCGCCACTCCTCCCGTGGTCGCCTGTCGCGGCGGCCCCTGCAGCGCGATTGTCTCCCACTCGCCGGTCGCGCTGAGGTGCTGGTAGAGCATGGCACCCATCTGCTCCACCGTCTTCCCCTGCACGGTCTCGTTGGGCGCCCCGAGAGACAGGCACTTTGCGCGCCATAGGGGGGCCGTCTTGAGCCTGGACATGCGGTCCCACCACTCTGGGTAGGTCATGATCTCCCCGCCGATGGCCGCACGAATCGTCACCACCTCACGGCGCGTTGTCGTCACGCCAACATGGGGCGGGGCTGCGTCGTGCACCCCGGTGTCCATGTTCAGTTTGAACAACGGCTGGGGCCTCACCATGGCCGCTGCGGCCGGGGCGGCCGCCAGGGCAGCACCGGCCGGCGCCGCCGCCACAGGCGTAGCACGGCCGCCCGGCTGAGCCAGCGCCACGAGCAACTCCTTCGTCTCCTTCATGTCTGATGCTGTCTGCGACGCGAAAGCATTCGTGTTCGAAGCGAGCTGCTGCATGGTGGTTTTCAGCCCCTGGATGTCCTGCTGGTGCCCGGACATCTGCGCACTCATGTTCGCGACCTGCTCCTTCAACTTCTGGAAGGCCGGGTCCTTCTCTAGGTCGCGCCCCTGCTCCTTGTCCACCTTCCCGCTCATGCCCGCGAGCTTGCTGAGCTCCGAAACGATCGCGGTAACGCGGCTGTCACCGCTGCTCGGCGTTGAGCTGTTGGACCCGGCGTTGGTCAGCATTTCGCGGAGTGCAGTCGCCAGCTCCGTGGCGGTGAAGTCCTTCTGCTGGTTCACTGCCCCTGGTACGCTACCAGAGGAGCCGGCACCCTGCTGCACGCACTGCGGCTGCTGCTGCTGCGCATTCAGAATGCAGCCGAGCTCGGTCATGCGGCCCAACGCCTGCACGCTGTTGAACATATCCGAGAACTGCTCCGCCATGTTGCCAAGACCACCAAAGCCTCCTCCAGAAGGCTGCTGCGGCCGCTGGAAGCGCGGTGCCTGCACCCAAGGGCGCTGCACCGGGAACCCCTTGCTGCCGTATGGCCCACCGCGCATGGCCCTTGTTGCTGCAGGTGTCGAGGCGGTCCGTTGGATGGCCTTGTGAGCCTCAGAAACACTATGGCGATGACGTTGTAGCGATGCAGACACTGGAATGACAAGATGATGGCACGTACGTGATACCAGTTTGAAGCACAATACAAATCTATCATGGTGAACATATGATTGAAAATATACCATACAATGTTTGACGGATGTGTTGTAGATTGTACCCAAGCCTGATGTAGAAGAGCATGTCAATACAAAACAGCACTATAAGGTTGAACGTCTCCAGCTGCACATCTAGCCAGCGTTGGATACGACCCCGGAGCTCGGCCCGGTGGCTCTTCCTCAAGTCTTCAGAGAAACACCCCTGGTGCGGAGGTACGCTTTGTTTTTCCACATTCCGCGGGTCCCCGGTTATTGCATACGCCTGATTTTTGTGAACCATCAAAAGCCTCAAGGCCCCGTCGAAGCCCAAATGCAGCTCCAGGTCGAGATATTTCTGAACAACAACACCACCCGGAAATGTTTTGAACCCATATCAGTGTTAAACTTTACCACCGAACCGTAAACTTGCTGGACGCACTCCTCCAAACAGTCCCTGCACAGGCGAAGCGACATCATGATGAGGTCATCCACATACCTTCCCGTTAGAAACTTACGACACCTACGCGGCATCCGTTGATCAGCTTCGTGCTCTAGACGAGATAGGACTAGCTCTAGAATGGCTCCTGATAGCGCTCCCCCAACCGGAATACCTTCACGTTGATGCATGAAAAAATCCCCAACTCTGAAGAACCTCATCCCTAAAAACCCCATGACGCAGCGGTGGAGCGTCTTCAGCAAGAAAACTGTACGATCATGGTGCGGTACGCGTATGTCTCCTCCCCAATGTGTGTTTGCCGGGTCGTCGTGGTCTACAGTGATGGCCTGGTAGCTCTGCTGCTCTGAAGCATCACGAAAAAACGCGTGGATGGAAGCCCGGATTGCGTCGTAGGAGAGGTCTTCGTACGCCTGCCCTGCATCTGCGACTAAAATGCTCGGTGTTCTCATCGTGCAAAAACACTTCTCGCAAGCACACGCACCCCGAGTAGGAATCAAAAGCTGTTTTTCCAGACTCCCAAGGCGGTCCCGGAGAAGATGAAGTGCTTTTCCCATGTCTTTCAAAGACCATCCTGGGGTGATCGTATGCACCATTCGCCCAATCGCTCGGGAAGCCCGTCTGAAAACCTTCCTTGCGGGGAACTTGAAGAACAAGCAAATGTTACGAAAACAACTGCGCGTTGGATCACGACATGTACGCATTCCTGTGGTACTCCAGCATTTTAGTTTTATACTTGGATAGATGTACGGTAACTGATGGAGTCCCAAAGAAGATCGACCCTTGAGAAGTGATTTTGGAATCGTAAAATCAAGTAGAAGACAGTACCAAGATAAGTTCGTACTCGGCAACTCTACACACATCTCCCATCTGTGCGGTACCCTGGCGAATATGCTCAACCAGCGGATGACGAAAAACAGCGGGTTGGATACCCAAAGGAAATTGGGGTCCTTGTCCTGGTACGCACAGACGCACTCCGAACTCCGGGTGTGGGGCCTGGCAAAGTCCGCAGCTGCTTGCACAAAATGTTCGTCTGGTCGTTTTTCTCGGCTGCTGTCCTGCAGATTTACAGATACACTGTATGTATTGGGGTTGCCAAACGTGCACAACCAAAGACAGCACTCTGAACGCGTAAGAGACCGAACATGATCACATGCACCCCGTTCGACCGGCACCCGCCCGTGAAGTTCAATGCGTTTCATGTCGCTCCCGGCGATGATCTGGTTGCAATCATTCATGGTGAGTCCCATGAGCTGGTCAAGGGAGAAGTGCCGTAAATGACGCACAACATTCACACACGACGCTTTCAATGTTTTTCGAGGGATAACAACGACATATGTGTTGAAGTGGATCACGTGCGCCCAATTCGGATGAGTCTTGCGCCAATCTCGAATCACTGTTCGCATCCAGGAACGAACGCGTGGTACAAAATGAATATCTGGAACCTTGACGTAAACCCTCCTGGGCCGGGGTACCCCCTGCATCTCCATAAATTGCCCGATGTTTGCCCTTACCTTAATTTTATCATAGCTTCTAGGTATTACAGAGGACATGCTCCATAAATCGAACAAGAAATCAAACCCAACCTTTCGTGAAGCCAACACATACTGCCACACGACATCTTGAGGTTTGTGGTATGCGTAGCGGAAGAGGAGTAGTAAATATCCAACAGCGTATATCGAGATCGGGCCATGCATTCCAGTCTGTTGAACATGTCGCTGAAGAAAACATCATATACATGTACATAAGTCTGCATTAATATGTGTTTCCCATGTTTTGTCGCTCTAGGTACTTAGTCTGGTTCTCGAACTTCATCTCGAACGAAGTGAGGAACTCCTGCTGCCAGGTGTCTGGCTGACGATTCACAGCAGACTGCACATCACATATGCTTCGCTTCTTCCAAGAAGACATTCTGGATCGTTGTCGTGGCTTTTCTCTGCACCTCCCGATGTTCCCCTTCTGCTTTTGCAGGAAATTGGCCCCTGTTCGAGCATACGCAATCAGCGCCGCTTCAACACTTAGCGCTTTTGACTTTGGCACAGCCGCGAGAAAACATACGTGCAAAAACTGCCGGCCGTGTATGCTGCCTTCGCTGCGGCGGCAGCGCCGAGACCGCGGCGGCCATAATTGAATGGACAGTGCGTGCCTGGGGTGGCAGGACCGCTTGCTGGCGCGTGGACAGGCTCTGCTACTCCTCGGGGCTGCGCCGCGCCGGGGCAGCGAGGCATAATTCGCATCGTTGGCTGCGCGCCGCACCGCGCAGCTGCCAAATGTGCCCGACTGAGTCGGCACCTTGCTGGGGCGTCGGCGGCCGCGCCCTATCGTCATCTGCCCGCGAGTCAAAAAAGGGTGAGAAATTAATGACCGATCCCTTCGCCATGCGAGGTGAATATTCGCATGAGCGCTCCATACAAGAGAACACATTGCCAGATATGGACGATTTGCGCTGCCCTCATCTCCGCCGTGCCTCCCAAGAACCCACGAAACTGGCGACACTTGCGCAATTCGCAACCACCGAAGGGGGACGCGAGGACTCAAATGCATCTGCGCTGCTCTCCCCTCCGCCGTGCCTCCCAGGAGCCCACGAAAGTGGTGACGGTTGCGCAGTTCGCAACCACCGAGGGAACCGCGCCTCTCCGGAGCCCGCGAAAGTGGCGACAGTTGCGCAGTTCGCAGCCACCCAGGGAGCAGCGAGGACTGAAATGGGTGCGCGCGGCCCCCGACCTCGCAGGACCTCCCAGGAGACCGCGGAAGTGGAGACAGTTTTGTACCTCGCAGCCTTCCAGGGAGGCGCGAGTCTGAAATGGATGCGCGTGGCCCCCGACTCCGCTGGACCTCCCAGGAGCCCGGAAGTGGAGACAAATTCGCACTTCGCAGACCCCGGGGGGGCCGCGAGGTCTTAAATGGATGCGCGTGGCCTGGCACTCCGCTGGACCTCCCAGGAGCCCACGAAAGTGGCGGCAGTTGCGCACTTCGCAGCCACCCAGTAGCAAAGGCACGAGTAGGGGTGGCAGGAACGCAGGAGACAGTAGGAGAATGGAGGAGAAGGGAGGAGGAGGAGGAGGAGGAGGAGGAGGAGGAGGAGAAGGAGGAGGAGGAGGAGAAGGAGGAGGCGGACGAGGAGGAGGAGGAGGGGGAAGGAGAATGGAGGCCCCAGTGCTCTATTCAAAACGAGAAACACACAGGAGGGTTGGATGGGGGACAGCACAAAACTCGAAGCACTCGCAATCACGATAGCAACAGGCCTAGGTATCTGCATCTGTGGACGATGAAGGCGTAGAGAGAAGCGAAGAAAGCAGCCGCTGCGAGAGCAGACGAACAGTAGACAGATGCCTGGACAGAGAGCGCGCAGATTCCGTGGACAGTCCCGCATCCTCCTTCCCCTCCTCCTCTCCCAGACCTCCGATGCCGCTTGCCTTTTCCAGGACAGGGCCCCAAGTTCCGACCCCCTCTCCCGGCGCCGGTTTCTTCCCATCTCGGGCCGTGCTCTGCTGACGGCCCTGGGGCCCGGCGAGGGGCCTCGGGCCAGGTGCTGCCAGATGTGTCCTTGGCCCGAGGTGTGCCCAGGACCTCCGAGAAGGCCTCCAGAGGGCCCCTCGCGAGGCCCAGAGGGCCCCAGCGCCAGGGGCTCCAACATGCAGCGAAAGGCTGGGGACACCTCGGGCCAGGGGCGCCTTCAGCAACGCGACCGGGGTGCCGGCGCAAGTTTCAACGCGCTCACCCTGCCCCCGATTACAGTGCTGGTTGGCATCGCGGGCTCGACCGAAACAGTGTCTTTTTTGGTTTGCGTTTTGGCGTCGTTCCCCTCCTTTTGCCTCGAGTCCGCCTCTGCTGCAACACGTTTTCGGAGCGAACACGGCCCACGAAATCGCCCGACACACCGTTTAGGTCGGCCCCTGCCCTGGGGGAGGGGTCGGGACGTCCGGGGGCTGGCAAGGCCTCGGGTTGCGCGCAGACAGCTTCCCCCCCCCCCCCCCAGGTAGTCCCAGCTGGCCTCAACAGGCCCCTCGAGCAGTCGTGGGCGGCCTCGACACCCTGGCGCCGCCTCCGGCGGCACCCCTGGGGCGCTCCGCGCCCCAGGGCTCGGGTGTTTAGAGGCCTCCCAGATGGGGTCGGAGTAGATGGGGTCGGAGGGTCGCACCGCATCGCAGATACATCGGCGATGCATCGGCGATGCATCGGCGATGCATCTGCGATGCATCGTCGACACGGGCGATGTATCGGCGACGTCGACGTGAAGCAAATCGGGGTTCCACATCGAGCCGCATCGGCGATGCATCGGCGATGCGGCGCGATCCTCCGACCCCATCTACTCCGACCCCATCTGGGAGGCCTAGAATGTTGAGACCGCCGCGGACTAGTTACTCTGGGGCCCTGTTGGGGCCAGCTGGGACTACTCGGGGGGGGGTGCTGAGGCCGGCCAGGATCACCTTGGGGGGCTGTCTGCGTGCAGCCCGAAGCCTCAGCACCGGGGGCCCCGCGTGGAACAACGATCCGGGCGTCGCCTGCCCTTCCACAGAGAGCTATTTGTTTAGCACCTGGAGGCCTAAAGACCTACAAAAAACGGAGCGAAACGCCTTAGAACCAAGACGCAGAATAGCTTTGGGATAGTCGGGAGCGGCCAAGAGGGGGGTGTCCAAGAGGGGGGGGGTGCAAATCATGACCGGCGGCATGTGCGCGGCCCAGCGGGGGCGCCAGGGACGTAATGAAACAGGAAGAGGCGCCATGAAATCTGGGCAAATATCATGGCCCCCGCCATGATATCCCCCCCCCCTAGTCATCACCCCCCTCTTTTCTGCCCCCGATTCTTGGTCGGGTGCTATTTTTCTAGCCCTCCCGGAAGCTCAGGGTCGCACGTCTGGCACCGCCCCGCCCTCCTCGGGGCCCCGCCCGTGCGCGCCGCGCGCTCCGCGCCCCGCACCCCGCCCGCGTGCACGGGCCCGCGCGCGGCCTGCGCCGCGATCCCGTGCGCGCTCCCACCGCGCGGGGAGGGCGCGCTCCGCCAAGGCTCTTTGGGCCGGCACTCACCTCTAGGCCTCCTAGATAGGGTCGGAGTAGATGGGGTCGAAGGATCGCTCCGCATCGCCGATGCGGCTCGATGTGGAGACCGTGTTTCCCCACGCCGACGTCGCCGATGCATCGCCGACGTCGCCGACGTCGCCGATGCATCGCTGATGCATCACCGATACATCGGCGATGTATTGGCGATGCGGCGCGATCCTCCGACCCCATCTACTCGGACCCCATCTAGGAGGCCTCTATCACCAGAGCCTGGCGATGCGACCGCCCACGGCGGCCGCGACTCCGGGCGGCTTGCCTGCGTGGCTCACTGCGTCAGCGAGGAGCTCGGGGAGCGCCTCCGGGTGGCGACGGGAGGGGGAGGGCGGAGGGCTCTGAGGCATCGACGGTGCAGGCATGACGCCGCCGGAAGTCGTGGCCACTGGCGTGCAGGGGAGGGGGGGGACAAAGGGCGCCAACCAAGGACCCGACCCCACCCGGGAACCCACCAGATACAGGGAGGGTGGAAAGAGAGGGGAGAAAAAGGAGGCCCAAACCTCCCCTCTCCTCCCTCCTTCCCTCCTCCCCCCTGCTCCTCCTCCCACTCCGGCTCCGCTATCCTCCCTCCTCCCAACCCGGCCCCTTCTCCAGTTGCTGCTCTTTCTCCTCGCCTTTCTCCTCCTCCCTCCCTCCCCCTGCTCCCTCCTCCCCCCTCCCTCAGCCTCCTGCCCCCTTGGGGGGAAGAGAAAAGGGAGGTGAAAGGACACAGCAGCAGCAAGACCAGCAACACCAGGACCACCACCGGCAAGGGATAAAACGGGAACAGGCAGGGAAGGAGGCAGGGGCCAGAACTGGGGATGACTGGGGGGATTCGGCTCGAAGAGCGGGGGCAGGAGGCGCGAGGGGAGAAGAAGAGCATAGCGGGAGAGAGAGAGAGAGAGAGAACACATAGCAAGAAACCGCAGGATGCGGAAGCGACGCCAGGGGGTGTCCGACCAGACGCGCCCGTGGCGGCGGCGGAGGCGGCGGCGGCCAGCCCGCGCCTCTGGGCCCAGCACGCTGACCATGAGCACGAGCGAGCAGAGCACGCCCCAGACATGCCAGGGAGCGCTGCAGCGCGCGACGCGGCGGCGCGCCCGCCGGCCCCTCCGAGGTGCGGAGGGGGCACCCTGCGCCGTGCGGGAACGAGACGCGCCTTCTCCCCGCTGCCTGTGGCCGTTCGCCGCTGCTTCTCATTGCCCGTGCTAGGTTTAGGTTGGGCGTGCCCTCCTACCGGCGGATTTTGGACGAAAGAGAAAAAAGTCAACAACAATACGATTCAAACCTGGAAGAACATCCCAGACTATTCTTGACTACGTTTGAATATCCCTTCTGTAGAGGGACATGCCCGACTTAATGCTAGTGGTGCGAGGGCAAGGGTGCAGAGAATCCACCACTGTGCCCCCTGGTAGGCTGAGGCGTGGTAGAATGCCAAATGCTGCCTGGTACATCCCCCACGAAACGTCACGCAAATGTTTTCCGCGCCGCGTCGGCACCCCAGACCCCCAAGTTTCCATATTGATGTTGAAACACGCGACTGTGTTTTGCTCCGTCGGCGTCCGCGCACAGCGTCGCGCGCGCGCAACTGAACATTGCAATTGGGGGTGCGGGGGATCCGGGGAAAACTTGCCTTAAGTTTCGCGGAGGGTTGTAGGGTTTGTACACATGTTCTCAGCTCCCCCCCCTCTCGCCACACTCCCCTACGTGCACCAGCCCTCCCTCCCGATGCTCCCTGGGCGAACCGAAGCCTCCCTGGGGATCTCCAGAACGGCCCAGGACGGCTTCCAAGACGGCCCTGGACGGCCCCCAAGGCCGCCTGGACGGCCCTGGACGGACTCAAGAGCCGCCAACAAGCGCCAAGTACATACCAAGATTTGGGCTGCCACGGTACGCAACACACACGGAGCTCAACATGTAGACCGAAAACGTACCCTAGGCGCGATACGATCGCCAAAATGTGGGGCAACGCGTTGAACCAACACGCAACGTGTTAACACGGACATGTTTGAACACGATACGTGTTGCGATTCTACACGCGCTTATCAGGACAGCCAAGCCTAAGATGCCTCCCGCAGGCCCAAAGACAACCCTTGGACGCTCTCCATGATGCCCCTGAGAGAAGAAAATCGCCTGGGGTGAACCCCCCAACCCTGTGCAGACTGGAACCACGTGCGCGCTTCGAGCGCGCTTAGGTTCTAGCAAGGTCTGGTTGTAGTTTACAGTGTTCGGCATCGGAGGACACTGCGCTCCTTTTGCGATTACCCACCGGAGTCTTCGGGGCTCAGTGGGCCGTCTGGAACGTATTGGGGTCCTCTTGGGACATCTGGAGGGCATCGTCGACCTTGGAACGCTTCTCGCGGTCCGTTTCGCAATGCCCTGTCGCGTTCTGCCCCCCGGCTCGAGCGATCCATGGGCACCCGCAGTCCCCAGGAGGGCGTGCGCTGCCTTTCAGCGCCCCAAGGTTGCTGCAAGACGACCCGAGGAAGCCCTCGGACGCCCAAGATGGTCTCGTAACGGCCCAACAATATAGGTTCAGCAGACGCCCCCAAAGGCTAGAAAGAGACCCTCAAGAGGCTCACAAGATGTCCCCTATGATACTCCGCGAAGGCCCCCCCCAGAGGCCGTCCCGTGTTCCCCAAGTGGCTTTTGCAACAGCTGGGGGAGCGCCCAGTCCAAACGCTTGCCCAAACTCCTCCCAGCGGTTAGACACGTAGGCATTTGAAGGGGCCCTGGGACACACAAAGAAATAGACACGGATGACAGGACTCCAAAGATTTTCCCATCTTTTCTGGGTTTTCGTTTTCCCCCCCACTTCCCATATTTTCCCATATTGTCCTGGGGAGTCGACGATTCATTTTGTCTGTGTGTTTCTTTCTCTCCTGAACATAGGCATTGCCCAAAAGCCAGGGGCCGGCGGGGACTCGCCGCAGGCGACTCTGACCCGTCGCCCCCTGCTGCTTGCCAAAGGGGTCCGAGGCCTGCCGAAATTTATAACATAGTTGGCCATTCCAACGAATACGTGTGGCTCTCGACCCGTCCGCTGCCACCGCACACTGTGCACAACATCAAGACAGCCCGCCTGCAAGCCAGCCAACCTGGCCCAAGGTGGTCCTCAAGACGGGCCCAGACGGCCCAAAACAGTCACAGGTGGCCTCCAATATGGCACGAGGGTCCCAAGAAGCCTCCAAGTTCGCCCCATATGCCTCCAAGACGGCAAAGATGGCCTGGAGGGGGCCCGAGGCTTTCTGGGACAAGCAGAAGAAATCCAAACCACTGACTGTTTAACCGTTTGAATGGTTTCCGTGTTCTCACCTTTTCGGGTTCCGGCAACCTTGGTCCATTAGCCCCAAGGCGGACAAAGAGGCCCTAGATGTTCCCAAGACGGCCACAGCGCCACAACATGGCCCCCAAGAGGTCCAGAAGACCGCACCAGAAAGTCCCCAAGCCGGCCCTACAACGGCCGAATGCGTCTGATGGGCCGATAGCGCCCGAAGACGGCCTAGGAAGCCCCCGAGAGGCTCGGGAAGCTTCATAGCGTCGTCACCCTAACTTCGGCACACCTCTGACACGGATCGTTGCCCGCAGGGAGTTTCACGAACAGCCTCAGAGACAAGGTTCACTTATGACACGAATCGTAGCCCACAGACATCTCCACCTACGGTCCCCGAGGCAAGGTTCGCATTGCGCCCCCCTGCCCATTGCGGCACCCGGCACACCCCATCACGCGGACCGTGCCCACAGGAGTACCACCTACAGGCCCAGAGACGCACCAATGGGCAGCTTCGCATGGCGTCCCCCCGTCCAGTTCTACCTGCAGCCTCAGTGGGCTAGTCCGCGCGAACGCATCCGAATTATTCGGCACACTCTTTCGGTGAATCGCGCCCAACCAGAAATTCAGCGCGCCCATGCACGCGTGCTCCGCAGCAGCCCGCTTTCCGTGTTGCCCCCTGGCGCGCAGTGTGTGTGTGTGTGTGAATGTATATATATATATATATATATATATATAATTGTAAATCTATACATATATATATATATATATATATATATATACATATACCCATATTATATTATATATATGTGTATATATGTGTGTATGGATAGAGGCCCTCGCCCTGTGTTACACATGACTGCGTAGTAATGGGTCCGACGCCAAGCCAATTGCCTGTTTAGCCTTCGGCCGATACCGCCACCGGGCCTCAGTCTGGGGCCAGAAGCCTCTCGGATAGATGTAATTCGGGGTCTCTCGGTATACTTCTCGGGCGCCTCGTGGAGCGAGTGTTGAAGCTCCTCCGGGCCTCTTGGAGACCGTTCGGGGACTCTCGGGGCCTCAGCTGGGGCCCCTGGGGGCCTCCTGGGGGCCTGCTGGCGGCCTCGGGGGCCGGCTTGTGGCGGAGGGCTCCACATGTCAGTTAGAGTGCCTCCTTTTGGACCCCTCTTGGGGGCCCTCCTGGGCAGTCTTGGGAGCCTCTTGGACCGTCTTGGGGCTCTCTTGGGCCGTCCTGGGGCCGTGCTGCCCTCTTGGGCCGTCTTGGGGCGATCTCGTGGGCCGTCTTGGACGCTGTTAAGACTTCCGAAGCAAGCTTGCGATCTATAGCATGCATGTATGCATACATACATACATACAGACAGACAGACAGACAGACAGACAGACAGACAGACATACATAAATACATGCATGCACACATGCATGCACACTGCGGGAGTCCGGGAGGGTGGCCCGGCCCAGTGCTGGGCCTCTGGGAGACCCTGAAGAGGTTCTGCTACCCTAGGCCCCACCCTGGGCACTAAGGTAGCCTACTGAAGTCCTACCCTAGGATCCTAGGGGGGGCTAGGCCTAGGGTAGGCATAGTGATAAGCCTTAGGGGTAAGCCTAGGGTAGGCCTAGGGGTAGGTCTTAGGGGTAGTACGCCAGGGTAGGCCTAGCGGTAGGGCCTTGGGGTGGGCTCGGGGTATGCCTAGGGGTGGGCCTACAGTAGGCCTAGGGCAGGCCTAGGGGTAGGTTTTAGGGGTAAGCCCAGGGTGGACCTAGGTAGGGCCTAGGGGTATCAGGCCATGGTAGGCCTAGCCGTAGGGCCTTGGGGTGGGCCTAGGATAGGCCTAGGGGTGGGCCTAGGGTAGGCCTAGGGGTAGGCCGTAGGGAAGGCTTAGGGTAGGCCTAGGGGTAGGCACAAGGGGTAAGCCTAGGGGTAGGGCCTAGGGGTACGCCATAGGGGTATGCCTAGGGTAGGCTGGGGTAGGCCTAAGGAAAGGCCTACCCTCTAGGTTCGGTCGGGTCGGGCTGGCGGCGACACTAACGTATGATGCGCATTCGCGTTTGCACGCGCGCAGAACGGGAAGGTCGTGTCGGGTGGGCGGACACTAACATATGATGCATACTCGTGTTGGCAACCGCGCAAAGGAGGGGGATCGGGCCTGGCGGGTGAGATGCTGAAGTGCATGATGCATCTTCGTGTTGGCATGCGCGCAAGGCCGAAACGGAAGGCGACGACGAGGATGACGACCCCCGATCACGACGACGACGATCCCCCTTGGAGCTGAACAGCACTAGTTTTTAGAGCCGAGCCCGTTCGCGGCGACGAGGCGGGCCCGCCGAGGGGCCCCGACCCCCCTGCTCCCCCCTTCCGACGGCAACGAGGCGGCGGCGGCCAGGCCGGCTGCCTCCGTCCCTCCCTCCCTTCCTCCCTCCCAACCTCAACCCTCGCTCCCTCCCTCCCTCATCCCTCCTAACGCCTCCCTCCTCCCTCCTCCCTCCTCCTCCTCCTCCTCCTCCTCCTCCTCCTCCTCGTCCTCGTCCTCCTCCTCCTCCCTTTCGCCCATTCTGGTTACCCCGACTTTGCAACGCGTGCGCAGTGTCAGGTTCCTCCACCCT